ACAGAATGTGTTAAAAACGTACAAACGTACGGCGTGCGGCCTTATCAATGGCCAGAGAAATTATAACTTCCAGCCATCGCTCTATTGGTTTTATATCGCGTTATTGCTCACGCAGCGGCCGCCATTAGACTAATTGCGTTTAATTGTCCAGCTCCCGTTTCGATTGTTCGAGGAATGATACAACATGGCTTGTTAATGGAATAGATAACTTTCGTGCGACGTGAATTTTGTCAAAAGCCAAAAGTTGTCTTTAGTTTACTCGAGCGATCGAGTTTTGTACTTGCGTTTTCTACGAAGTAAAAGTTAGATTTCTTTCAAATAAAAAAAAAAAAAAAAAAAAAAGAAGGAATGTTTCACGATCGATATTTCACGCGTAGTTTCGATCAAACAAATTTGTTTGCGTTCGTTTGTTTTAAATCGAGGACACAGTTGAAAAAAGAAATTGACTGTTTAAAAATAACTAATAGTTAACATTCAGAATTCATACATATTTCAGGTGGGAAATTTTACGGAAATAAATTTGGCTCCCAATTTAGCTCGGCGTAACGATACGACCCGTCGTTTCCCAAGGAAGCGCGTGAGTCAGATGCAACGGAACTTCACCGTTTTTACATTCGCATTACCATAACCTTTCGAAACCTTCCGAAAGTTTTATCGCCCATACCTCCCGCTATTGTATAACTAAGTTGTAACTACAGTTAGCAGAACTGCGCTGAAACGGCGCGCCGCTATCGACTGGTATTATCAAGTCAAGGACTACATTTTTGCATGCACCAATTACGGTATCCATGTCTGACATACATCACTCAGTGACGAATATTGAGAGCTACACACACACACACACACACACACACACATGTACCTACATAGAAACGTATAGACCGTGCAACGAAGTTCAAAACTACGTACGTAGTTCGCTTCAAAATCCGCAGTAGAATTAGAACTGTTCATGATCAGACATAGTCTCCAACGTGAACCACTTTTGCGTAAGTCTGCTCTCGATATTCGAAGATCTCCTCGTTCTTTTGGAGTCAATCTTTGCAAGTTGATCTCAATGCATATTCTTTAAAAACAATAATTTAAATATCGTACGCCGTTGTTCGTAGTTTGAAGCAGGGGCAAGCGTTTTAACGGTCAACAACAGGTCTTACCACACGACTGTTTCAACAAAAATTACGTTCGAAACTGATTTATTTAGATAAAAAGTTTATATAAACCACGAGGAGTGCCGTCAGCCCGTGCGATTTCAACGCGATTCCAATCGTGCCGGGACAATCCATCAGCAACATAGTGGCGAACAGCTGGCCCGGGGATCCGGGGCGAGCGAGCGAGCGAGAGACAGAGAGAGAGAGAGAGAGAGAGAGAGGGAGAGGGAGAGAACGTTCTTGGAGATCGCGGCTCGAATCGGTGGGAGCGTTTTCATTTAGACGTAGATTATTCCTAGATGCCTCTCTCATAAATATTAAACAGGCATCGCGCGCGCGAGCACGCTCTCGGATTCACGCAGGCGAAACGTTCTTCAGTACTTTTTACCCTGGAAACCTTGTCCCGGCTGCTGTGCCCGCCGCCTGCTGTACCCCTTCGCTGTTCCTTCGTTCTTCCCTCTGTGTTCCTCACGCCCCTTCACGTCCTACGGCGACGACGATCTGTCGCTCATTGAGTATGCATCGGCGATATCGACAGGCGAGGGCTGTTACCAGAGCGCCTCGCCGTTCCGCCCTGGGCGACGCTCGGAAGCCGTTGCTGGCCCCGGCAACATTCAACCACGACGCAGCAACGAGGTCATCCTCTATCGTTGCTTCCTCTCTTTGTTTCTCCCTCGGCGGCATGGTTCGCGCGCGACCACCGGCTGACAGGAGTAATTTTTGCACTCGCGCGGGGCGGCCATTCGACGCGCCCGCGTAAAACCACTCGCACACAAACAGAGACGCGCAGCAACGGTGCACGCGCGTTCCTACGTACGTACGTACGTTCGTTGAAGGATGCTGGATCATGCTGGAGGGAAAGAGATAACCGCAGCTTGCCACCGTGCCGTTCCAGTGGCCATCGGCGTTATGCCCGCTTCGCACACGCCGCTGCCTCTCTTCTTCTTATTCTTCTTCTTCGTATATTCTTTTATTGTACCTGTTCTCCTTTTTCTTGTTGTTGTTGTTGTTCTTCTTCTTCTTCGTCGTCGTCTTCTTCCTCTCCTACCCCCGTGGGACGTGTACTTATTATATAGGTATTCCGTCGCGAGGCGGTGCCGACTCGTCACGCGCGTTTGCATACATTTCGAGCCGCGGCCCGGTACGCTTTTTTGCCCGGGATTCTCGCTGCCGTTCGTGCAGCTATGGATGTCCCGCCGTGCATCCGTGCGGCTAGACTGATTACGATAATCGATGTCCGAAGCGGTGTTTCCTCGAGAGAACGAGCAGCCACTTTATTTACGATAAGCAAGACCGTTTCGTAAGTAGTAGACAGTTGCACGTCGAACGACGTGCCTCCAGTGATTCTCGCTGTTTTCCAAGCAAAGAACTCGTCTTCCAAGCAGCCCGCCGAGTTTCCCCGCGTACAAGAAAAACCAAAGATCCCCCCTCGCGCCGAAGAATCTACACCTGCGTCGCGCTATGACAACCGAGGATACCGAGGTTGCAGGTTCGCGCAAAAAACGCGGACGTAACTCGCCAGCCGAGATATCTCGCGAACAAAAGGCGAGCAACCCCGTTGTTCGCAGCCGCCCTTAGATGCCTGCCGTGTTCTTCTTCTTCTTCGTATGCCGCGCACACGTCACCCTAGCTGTAAATATCAATAAACAGAGGCGAACGGGCAGCGGGCAAATGCCAGGAACCCGACTGCGACAACGAAATAAACTACGCCGGGATGAGCGTTTTAGCGCTGACTCCTTTGTCGGGCGCCATCTCCTGCGCGCAAGCACGCTCCGCTTTTTCACCGAGCAATTAGAAAGAGATTTATTTGCCCCGACACGCCAGCCACACGCTCGCCGACAGCACTGGCCGCGAGGAGGAGCCAAGTTCACGACCAAGTTCGATTAGTTGCGTGACTAGTTTTCGGCTAGATACCGCACCCATTTTACACAGCGAACATCACCCATCTGTGCACGTGTTGTTTCGAATTTCGCGTATACTCGGTATTCGTGACCGCGGACGAACACGGCGGGGAACCGCGAATTTTCCAGCGGAGCGGTCCCCTTCCCTTACGAAACGTGAAACAACCGCCGGCCGCGAATAGCGTATTTCTTTCGAGGTTAGACCGAGCCCGCTGTTGCGGTTTTAATGAACTCGTTTTGACGTGACGACGCCTCCTCGTGTCCCCCTTTTCTTTCTGCACTCCCCATCTTTCTCCCCGTCGTTCTAGCCGTCTCTCGTCCCTCGCCCTCCGCCGCTGGCCTCCGGGCTCCGTGCTTCACGCAGCCGACTTAGTTAATTAAAGTAACCGTACGGTTTTTGATTGACGCCCAAGGCGTAAAAAGTCGTGGACTACGCGCGCACATACCCGGCACCCAACACGCTCGCTTGCGTGGATTACGCAATGGCCGATCGCCGAGGGTTGACACAGAAGCATCTTCTCCGGTGATTGATAAGAGTTTACAGCCTGTAATCGTTAATTTTTCCACAGCTGCGACTACGGTTCGCAACAGGCATCGCACGTGCGAGGGGGAAACAAAATATTCCGTAAAAGTGGAAAATAATTCTGGAATTATTCTTTGCAAGTGGGATTCAAAAAAAGGAAAAAATGAAACATCTGGTAAAACTCTGACACGATCGAGGCTCGAAATTATATTTGTAGGAAAGTTGCAGCGATTGCACCATGTTAGAAAATCTATTTACATAGAAGGTCTTCCGACTCTCGATTTTCCAGAAAGGGAAACAGCCATATGAAACGTTGCCTGGTAAAAACGCCACTTCCTGAATTTTTTTCTTCTCTGAAACGCGCAGGGTTAACGCGCTCCGTTTGCCTAGCTGTTGCTGGCAAAACACACGAAACGCAGTTGCCCGCAGTTCCACGGCGTCGGTAGTCGTCCCTCTCGCTCTTTGCGTTCACCTAGCCGAGCCGAGCCGAGTCGAGCTTACGTAAGATTGTGGCAGCGCGTCACGTGCACGCGGCGCACGTAGACAGATCGCGCCAAGACACAAAAAAATACCGCATGTGCAATCCTAACAGCGGTACAGGCGCATTAGTATCCGCCGCACAGGCCGAACTCGACGTTCCGCGCGGCGCGTGTAGGTCGAGAGACAGGCAAAAGAAACGATAAGTTACGAAACCAACAGTTCCTCCTCTTCTTTTTCTCTCATTTTTATCATCCTCGTTTTTTTTTTTTCTTTCGTTCTCGTTTTCCTCCTCGTCCACGTCGGTTTGTAATCCGGTAGCGCGACCGTGCTGCCGCGGCATTATGCAGATGTATTGTTGCTCCGTAGCGTGGCCGAACGCCGTAGCGAGTCGAAAGCCGCGCGGCACGATCTATCCTTCCTTCATCATCGATATATCCGTTCGGTTGCTGTCGGACCAACGTCGATAATGCCCTCTCCTCTCGCTTCTCGGCGTCTGCATGCGCCTTGTCCCTCTCGCGAAATATATATGTGTATATGCCGAGCCGAACAAGCGTGTATCATTACGCTCGGTGCGTACTCGCAGAAATTCATATCGAGCTCTGTAATTATCGGATGTTTGACGGACGGAAGGACAGCGGCAACAGAGACAGTGAAAATTGCTGGTCTCTGAACGAGCGCAACAGTACACACCGATGTCTCGGTCCACGTTAAATAGTACATCAACCTCGTGCAAGCACGACATAGCCTCTGCTCTCCTCTCCTCTCAACTCTCCACTCTCCACTCTCCTCCGTTTTTCTCTCTACTTCTCTCCACCCCTCGCCGCGTATTTCTTCCTTCGTTTTTCTCCGCCGATCTCTCTTCTTCGATCTCTTTCGCCGATCGCTACTGACAACCCGCGAAACGAGTTCCACCTGACCTGACCGTCGCGCTCGTTGGATTTTTTGTTGCAGGTGAAAATCTGGTTCCAGAATAGAAGAAGTAAATACAAGAAGATGATGAAGGCGGCGCAGCAGGGCGGCGCTGGCGGCGGAGGGCAACACGGCAGCCTCTTAGCCGGCGGAACCGCTTTACCCGGAGGACCATCTCCTCAACCTGGTCAACCAGGAAGTCTCATGCAAGGAGGTATGTGCTCGTACATGACGAAAAAAGAAACGTTTCCATTCGCGACCATTTTCGAAAATATGCGCGTGAACGTTGATATCGTGAAAGTGTTCCCGATTAATTACCATTCCGCGTTATAAGGATTTTTCTGGTTAAACTTTCAAGTTAAACGAAAATATTTAGTACGTCGACTAGTAAATAGAGTCGGTTTCTTTGAGAATTAAGGCTTGATTCGAGAAGGAAGGTATAAATCAATTGGAGAAATCGAATCGAGTGACAATGGTTTGGAATCTTGCCAATCCCGATGTATCGAAAACCGGTCTCGATACCTATCGATGAAACGATAAAACGATTCTTAAAAAGTCCCATCGATTCTTGAATTTTTAACTCGAGTCCAATTCAGAAGCGAACGTCTCCCTATCGATGCGCGCACCATCCCATGATTCAATCAATATCGATCCTGAATCTTCATTCACGAACCAATCCCTTTCGCCATCTTGAGAATTTCAATTCAGAACTCGATTCAATTTCCAAATGGATCCGAAAATCCAACTCTCCTTTCTCTCGCCGAGCCCCGTCCCACCCGAGAAAATATTCCCACCCGATTCGATAAATCAATCCGCCCGCCATCCCCGAGCCGCGTCATGGATCATCCCCGTAACGCGTC